AATGCTATTTTATTTTTTATATTCAGACTGACTCAATCTTTCATGTTTCACCAATTTTCGGACTATAATTTTTACGTATTGACTCTTACTTCGCCCTTTATTTATTATTTTTATTTTTATATAAAGAGTCCTTCTATTTGTTTAATCATTAAATTTTCTTGTAACTTGAACCAGTTGCGAGATATTTGCTCGGACATTTATGGATGGAGACCCTGTACAATAACGGAAAAAATTACTAAAATTTATTAATATTTCCTAAGTATCTTAGTAATTATTCCAATTTAGCACTCGAAAATCCGAGCTCCGTATAGTTTCCAAACAGCTAAATCTGTTTCGCTAAGCAAATATATTTAACTTTAATTTTATTTCTCAAGCCGAAATTTTTTAACGTTTTATATTACATATTCCCGCAAAAAATGGGCCACTGGCTCATATTTTTTTTGCGGGTGAGTACATTTTCTGTTAATTAAATCTTTTTTCTGGAAATCAAATGTTTGCGATAGAATCCCGTTTGATGGACGATTAAAGCTGACTTTCACTTCGCTGCTTCACTCGCCCACGCTCTACATTACTTCAAGGGAGAAAATCAACGTATTAAATTTTTACGTGGCTGTGCCATGGAAACCGCAAGCAAAAAGGATTGCGTTTCGTAGATTGTAGAGACTGAGATTAATTAGCGTTGCGAAGCATTATGACGCCAATCGTTTATTGTTATCATGGAACCTTTAAAAGCTACGATTTGATCATATCGTTTCATTTGGCAATCTCAATTTATTTGTTGTTGAGCGATTTCGACCGCAAAAGAGATGAACGATAAAACGATTATTTAGTCTCTCAATTTTTCTCTGCAAGAAACACGTCGACCGTATATAACAAATGCGTACAGTTACAGTGTGTAATTCATCACAGTAATCTAACTACAACGTTTCTACATACATATTCTGTTAATTAAGTCTATCGCAATTATAACGATTACGCTGTATTGTGATTTTTGTTTTATAAATATAATAATGGACTTAGATATGTCATCATTGCTACTGAAAGACATGTATGAAACTTTGGAAATTAAGAACATTTTTAATTACAAGTACATTTGTAATGGAAAACATTATTATTTATTTTATTTATGAATACAACAATTCTGATTTTACATTCGATGAAATTCAAATCACTATTTCTCCTTTTTAGAACATTTTAACATTATGCAATATATTTGAAGTTTGCATTTGCCCGTTGATTTATCTTTCACAATTATTGAATTTTTTCACGGAGTGACACAGCAAAAGGTTTCTATCAAGGTAGGAATTAATGCAAGGAATTGAAATGAGATATTGCGTGTATTAATGATAATTATGTTATGTGGCGTAATTCTCATCGAGATTAGAAATCAATTAGTTCGTAGTTACGAGCTCAGTTATATATGGCACTTCTTTTACTTTGTTCATATTTACTATACACACACAATTGGTATAATTCTAGAAATTATTTTAAATATTATATCTTATCTATGTGTCAATGACATATGATCTACATGTATGTATATCATTAAAAAAATACACGTAATATTATACTGACTGCGTAGGCACCTCATCAAATTAAGCGAAATGCATGTATATTTTTTCCAAACAAGAATCCATATAATGTTGCATTTCATAAGTATAAATATTCTAGAAATATAAATATATATTCAAAGCATTTCAAGTATTTCAAATATTTTTAAATTAAATAAACGATTTAAATAAAATATATATTGTTATTATGAACATAAATTATTGTATGTAATTTAAAAATTAAAATTAAGAATAAAAAAGTTATAATGATTCAATGTTAAATATATATATACTATAATTATTAGTAATAATAATCAATCTTTAGTTATCAATCGAAGATCATTCCAATCTCTGGCATTTGCAAATTTTACTTTTAAAGCTGTATGAAAACTTTTTTCATCAATTAATTTTCCTTCCGTGGTAGTATGTATTCCCATTATAATATCTATAATAATATATGTAGAAAAATTAAGAGTAATATTTCATATTTTTTATATAAAATGTTTTCGAAGAAAACTGTATTTATACCTTTTATATTTTTGTAGGTATTAGTAATTTTAAAAATCAATCGATCGCCAGATTTTCTTATAGTGGTAAATTGTAAGGCTAAATCACGTGCAAAAATTTTTCTAAGTATTGCATAAATACTATTCGTTGGATTATTGGTACTTCGATCCAAGCAATTGCTTATGAATTCAACCTATAAAATGAAAAAAGAAATATATATGTTTACACGATAAAAGAATTATTGCTCTGATATTTTATATATCCTTTAAAATAACTTACAAATTTTTTTGCAATTTCTTGTTTGTCTAAAGTTGAATCGAAGTTAACAAAATTATCCATTGATTGCAATGGCATTTCAATGCCATCGTCTATTAAATATATGTAAATTATTGGTGTTTTGAATTTGACGAATATCATAACGTAGATCTTCGATATCTTTTCTCATTTTTAACATAATTTATCTGTTTGTTAAAATGGCTTTCAATAAAAAGTTGCCTTCCTAAAAATAAATGTTAATAGAATAGAAATATTTTCATAATAGATATTAATACAAATTAATAAATATAAAAGAATGTAATATTAAGAATAGAAGAAAGGCTTCTATTATAAGAGATACCGAGTTCATTTTAGGTAAATGCTGAAAGTTTGAACTGAATTAAAAAAATAATCATTTCGCGAAGGAAATTTAATAAGCTTTAAGATACTGTTATGTAAAATTTAATTTAAATACTATTATCATATCAAATATTTATTATGTAATTTATAATATTAAATATTTATTATAGTTATTATACTTATTATATTTATTATATTTATTATCATATTAAATATTTATTATAATTTATTATAATTTAATTTAAGTACTATTATCATATTAGGTGCTTATTTCATAATAGCGGGCTTATCTCTATTAATTATAAAATAATAATAGCATTGAAAAATAAACTTCAAGATATAAATTGATCCAATTTTCAATAAAATACCATCATTTATAATGCCACTTAGCTAATTTATTGCATCTTTATTATAATCAGCCGGATATAAATTTTCAAGGTCAAATGTTATTGTTGCAGTTTGATTATTATTTAATAAATTTTCTGGATCAAGCTCTATTAATGATATTAAATAGATTTTATCATTTATTTATTAATAAAAATTAGGAATGCAATTAGGAATTATTTAGCGCGTATAAAAAAATACGAGTAAGTCAAAGTATGAGTGTTATGTAATAGTGTTTCTTTTTTAATTATGTGAATTACCTTCCTCAACATTCGAACTTCATGAAATTTCATTATTATTTCTCTCATTTAATTCTTCTGTGATATGCATACTTGAAGTTTTAGCTGTTTTACTTTTTTTGTCTATTATTTTAGGCTGTTGTGGTATATCTTTATCTTCATCCATTTCTTGACTATCAGTGTTACGTCCTGCCCTCCGTAAAAATTTTCAGCTGGATGAAGTTTGGAACGTTCTTGAAGCAATTTTTTAAAAATGGTTTGGCCCGTTTTTCCTTTAGCACAGAGCTACATTTGCATGCCAGACAACCAATAGAAAACACACCGATCGAATAGATGCGTCGGAAGGCACCCTCAATGGCGAAAAACTACCCTTGGAAAATTTAAAAAAATTCTCCCAAAGTCAAAAATGATTTGGCCCATTTCTCCTTTTGCACAGAGCTACATCTGCATGCCAGACAACAAAGAGAAAATACCCCGGTCAAATACATACGTCGGAAGGCACCTTTAATTACGAAAAACTACCTTTGGAGAACTTAAAAATTCTTAATGCGTTTAATAGCTTGTAATTATTGTAAATCATGTTTAAAAATGATTCGATGAATTTGTTGGCAGTATCATAAGTTGTTTTAATGAACAATAGACCTTTTTATCGAATAAATCACAGTAAAATATGGACAATTTCATTTCCGATTCGATCGAGATGTTTTTTATGCGTTGCTTGGCATGCAGATGTAGCTCTGTGCAAAAGGAGAAATGGGCCAAATCATTTTTGACTTTGGGAGAATTTTTTTAAATTTTCCGAGGGTAGTTTTTCGCCATTGAGGGTGCCATCCGACGCATGTATTCGATCGGTGTGTTTTCTATTGGTTGTCTGGCATGCAAATGTAGCCAAAGGAAAAACGGGCCAAACCATTTTGAAAAAATCGCTCCAAGGAAGAACGTTCCAAACTTCATCCAGCTAAATTTTCTTTCCTTTTTGTCTTTTCGTTCCACGCTAAATTATTTTTCCTTATTTAATCGTCTATCTGAAGTGTTTCTATTAATTAATTGCGAATATTCCTAGCGAGAAACTTATTTGGCACAGTATTATTCCATCATGCCGACATCGCGTGCCCCATGTGTTGCGTAGCGCGAGCCAATCGAAGCACTCGCGAGGCGCGTGCCACGTATTGCAACGAAATTCCAAGAAAGATAACTCCACGCGGAGTTAAGGAATCGTTCCTATATGTTGAGATTGTCGTCATTACCATCTTATACAAGATTTAGGAAAAATTAATCTGATCGAGGCATCTCAACGCCTATAATCTCTCGCAATAAGAACAAGCTATCGCACACCAATCACAGCCCGCGACACGCGTGTCGCTCGTCGCTATGAACCCTTAATGGGATTTCAGCTGCTCTGGCCGAGAATACTGTTAATTTCGAAGTCTCACATTATGCTTAATACATTTTTGTTTAATTCATTATCTTTTGGCCATCGTGACCGCCTTAATTAGTCTAAAATAGATAGGTAGACGCGAATTTGTCGCGTTAACGAGCGCCGATCAATCGAGAACTGGGAAAGGAGCAGCGCGGATCACGGAGAGAAGCCCAAAATTTAATTGGTTAATTACTTTAAAATTCCGTTGATTAACGCGAAATGAATGTGGGATGCGATGCGATTTGGCGCGCTTTTTAAATCGTGCGTGAGCGAGTGGCGAGTTTTGTAGAGAGGCGACATGTAGGCAAGAGAGGGCGCGGCGCGAGCGAGAGTCAATCCGTCCGGCGACGCACGAAAAAAGCAAGCAAACGAGTGTTGTTGTCTCTACAAGTTTATATTCTCTTATATACCCGTAATAATATACACATATTCACCATCTCTTGTGTTAATCATTAATCACATTCTTATTCCTACAATTGGGGCCTCGTCCGGGATCAGGAGAAAAACTTGAGAGTGATATTCGAGATGATGGACCAAGATGCTCAAGACGGCGTCTCGACAACGAGTAGCGACAAGTACGAGAACATGACCGTTGTAAGATGAGCCGAAACGACGTAAACTAAAGGCAATGGGCAATAAGCTAGAGCTAATAAGACGATTGAAGCGAAGCGATAATAACGACGACGACAACGAGAGCGACGTACATAACGAGAGTTTTGACGACGCAGACGAGCCGGTAATGGCCGCCATTGCAAGAGACGAAAACGTAGACAAAGATAGGTCGTTAGAATGGAAAAGGTACATGTTAACCTTTAAAGACGTTGGCAGACGCTATCGACAAATTCAGCGGTGACGACGGAAAAAACGTAAACCAGTGGATAAAAAAATTCGATGATTTAGCAAAGTTGTGTGGATGGTCAGCGGTGCATCAGACGATATACGCGAAAGGGCTATTGATTGGATCGGCACGCCTTTTCGTGAACCATGAGGCACGAGGAAAAACATGGAAGGACATCAGGGCCGTGTTAAGTTTGGAATTCGCACTCAAAGTAGATAGTCATGCGATCCACAGGAAGCTACAAAGAAGAAAGAAGAGACCAGACGAGACATATCACCAATATTGTTATAAGATGTTAGAGATTGCGTCGCCGATAAGTATGGAAATATCCGCGGTCATACAATATATAATGATGGCATAATTGACGATAAGGTAAATAAAACAATTTTATATGGCGCTAAAACAATATCTCAACTAAAGGCGAATTTAGATACATATGAGTTAATGAAAGCTAAGAGTAAGAGCGCAGGTAAGGTTAAGTCGGACGATCCTAGAAAAAAGGCACAGACGAGTAAGACGGATGAAAAAGCGGAGGTTAGGCGTTGTTTTAATTGTGGCGGGAAAAACCATCTCAGTGCAGCGTGCCCATCGAAGGAAAAAGGTACCATTTGGGCCGGTTTCACCAACGTCA